TTCTTTACAACTTATTTTTTCATGTAAATTCAAAATCTAAGAACTTATACATTTCAAAAATATAACTAAAATTATATTTCTAAATATTCCATAAAAATATAAATCAAATGACTTAAACCAAATAGGTATATAAACCACATAATCTGGAGCAATAACATAATTAAATTTTAAGAACAGATATTATTTGAAATTATTTTAGATTTTTTAATATTTATGATACTTTTAGCAGTTTTAATAGAATTTAATAAGATATAGCCTTTTTATGAAATCAAAGCATCAAATACAAAATAAAAAATAAAAGTTTAATATTTTTTTGTGTTAACCCGTTTAATATAAATAAGTTTCTTTTAAAATATTTTTTGCTAAATAGTTAGTTACCAATAAATCTTTACTTAAGACAAATTAATTTATGAATTACAAAAAGTTAATTTCTCTAATCTTTTAAAAAATAATAAAGTTTATTAATTATATACTGTAATATTGTATATTATTTGGTGTATTTGATACATCTCCAAATTTAGAAAATTATATACACAATTAAGAATGATGTTGTGGTAAAACACACAAATGATATCGCTTTACCGTACCTTTCTCACAGAGGAGGTCTACAAGAAGCCATATTTCCTCTTTATACCAAAAAATAATTTTATATTATCCTGTATCCTGATTGGGCTATTTAAGAAAACTATAAATTGGCGAAATTTAAATAAATAACGAGTTCTAAGAATAAATCCTTTACTCCAAAACTTTATATATCATATTATACTTCTTCCTTTCTCCTCCAGAGATATTATAAGGGAGGAGTAAAACCCCGGGGCTAAGACAGGCGTATTGTAATCAAACCTTTCAGAACCCGTGAGGAATTGTTTATTAATAATTTGTTTTTTTTAAAGTTACTAAAACTTTTAACGATTCACTGTTATACAGCTTTGAAAATGTTCCAATTATAAAATCAATAATGATTTAAAGCCATTGCAGATTTCTTAAAATAAAAGAAGAAATAATAACAAGGTTACCCCATAAATCCCAAATAAAAGATAAAACATGGTTGTGTCTCATATAAAAAAATTGTTCCCCAAATGCCAATTCCATAACAAAATTGATAAAATATTGTAATTTTGTAGATGATCAATAGGATAAATATAAAATAGACAAGGCTAAAAACTATATTAAATTATAAAATCCGTCTTTTAAATTATAAAAAACTAATGTTATAAGCACATACAAGAAAACAGAACCACAAGGATGTAAAATGAAAACTGCTTAATAT